CATCATGAAGTCCTACCTAGAAAGACTCTGGTGTTTGTATTCCACCACCTATCACTGTAGTCATCGTTCCTCTATTATCACAGAGAAAGTATCAGCCTTTAATGCCAGCCCTGGGTGGATTTGAATATCTAAAGGAAACTTCTTTGTAAGGCTTTCCACATTTTGCTATTGATGCTGCCCCCTACCCCAGAGATGGAGAGGAAATAATCTCAGGTTCTGCTTTCCATCCCCGTGAAGCACTAGTCCTAGGTGGTTTCCACCTTTTCCCCTGACATTTCCTTTACATAGTAATGCTATTCTAAACCGATGGTCACAGAGTTCTTCTCAATGACACAGAGGCAAAACGCACCGCATAGCTGATAAATTGTAAGCAGGCATCGCGCGTTTGCTTGATGGATTTGTGGAGTGTGTGAGTCATGGGTGTTATTTTTGGTCAGAAGAATAGTGTGAACTTTCCTCCTCTATTCTGAGCGCTGTGAAATGCATTTCTTTTTTTGGTTCTTCAAGGTATATGTCAAGGAACTAAGTACCGTATCAGAATCATCATTTTCTAGTTTTCAAAGTTACTGTTTTGGAGTTGAGAAGGTGGAATATTTGAATAGAAAAGAATTGTGTGTAATCCAGTCTGTTAAATGTAAAAGAAAATTAGTCACCTGCTTTGAGGCAGTAGTGCCTCCCTTCCCACTATACTCCAGAGGCCAAGTTTAAAGCTGCTAGGGTGGAGGCAGATGCCATGAACTAGTGTGCCGGCATTGTGATTTTAATAGACCTTTGTTTTGTGGATAATGTAGGCTGAATTGTGGTAGATTTCTCTCAGCCAGGCTGCGGAGTAAATAATGTTTGAAAATCACAGCCCTGGGTCTCTAAATCCATGTTTCGTAAAGCAACTGGCCCGGTGCCCCAGGTTTCCCTGGAATCTCTGGCTGGTGTTTCTGCTCAGTATCTGCCCTGCTCCCCCCTTTCATGGCCAGATACCTGGGAGCATCGCTGATCTGGGATGCTTTTAGGGGGAGATCCAAGTCCTAGTGTCAGGTCGCGACCTCATCGCTTCTGATCTGTGCTGAGATAGGTACAGAAATTGGAAGTCAGCACTCAGAGACTTTGATAGCAATGTGGCAACATGGTTTTATGTCTATCGAATCTAACAAAAAACACTTGCAGTTTTATCTTGATGTCTTTTTAAAATTATTTTCCTTCTAATTCTTGTTTATTGCATTTTACAAAGTATTGATTAGCAATGGATTGGAGGAGGAGGAGGACTGGTCTTTCACAACTGGTGGACTGAGTTGTTCGGGTTTATGTCCTGCGCTTAGTGGTTTAGCAGTTGGAGTAGTCAGTGAACCCCAAGGTCTTCCTACTCCTTGAGGGGCTTACACCATTATTAATTTAAGAAGGGAAGTAGGGGAATGCTTTTCTTTTTCATCCTTTCCTTAAGTTTCCCCCATTGCTCTTAGGATCATCTGTCCTGGTCTGTGCGAGAGAACCTGGCTCACCTCCCCAGGTGGCCACGCTGAGATCTGCCTGCAGCAGGCTCTGGGTAGAGGGCCCCTTCCCAGGGCAGCCACAGCTGCTCTGTCGCTGTCCCTCTATATGGCAGAGCGGGACTGTTTGCTTCTACAAGAGAGCTAACATCTGGGGACACCTGGAGTTCTGTGGAGGAGAGACAGAGGTCGCTCCTTGTTGATAACTGTGCTCAGGAAGGAGAGAGGTAGGTGGGAGGGAGAGAACCAGGAGACATCCAACAAAAGCTAAGCCACCTTCGGATGGATTTCAGCGCAGTCCCTGGAGCCAGCCTGTGATGAGTTGGGGCAATGTGATGAGAAGGACAGATGGAAGCCTGTTTGCCTTCCCCCTCCTGAAACTTTCCCCCAGGGTGCCTGAAGGCTCTTTCTGCTTTTTGGAGTCATGGTTTAAATGTGGCAGTCTCCTTTACACACCCTGTTCCTTTTACCTGCTTGCTTTCTTTCCAGAGTCCTTACGAGCCAGCACCCTGAGTCATTATTTACTTTATTATAATATAGTGTAAGCAATTCAGTGCAATCAATTATATGTAAGCTTACAAGGGCAACAGGATTGTTTATTTTGTTCATTGGTCTATGCCCAGAGCTTACACAGTGTCTGGTACACAGTAGGCACTTTGTAAAAATTTGTTTTATTAAAGAATAAAGGGGAAGGGACAGGCTTACAACGGAGGTCCAAGGTCACACTCACACTGCCCTGTCCATTGCATGCTGGCCTGGAGGTGGGAAGGACACAGGTGAGGGAGGTAGCCAGCCTTAGCCAGCACCTGCCGTGTGCAAGCCCCCGGGAAGTGCTCTGTGCTCCTTATTTAATTTAAGGGCTGGTTTGGCCTGCGGATTGTGTATTACTAGCTCCACTGTAGGGATGGAAGCTCCAGGTTAAGGACTTCCTGCAAGGTCACTTAGCTCAGGTAGCGACTGAACCAGGTGGCAACTGTGACTTTCTCATTCCTCCTAGAGACCTTCTCCCTGCCCCCTTTTAGTATCTCTTATTCCTTTGCTTTCCTTCCTATAAAATGGGGGTTAGTTTTCCTCCCTATCACCACCTTTTAATGTAATGAGAACAGAAAAATGGGAGACCTGGAATTCAGCTGTTACAGATAATGACTTTTACAAAGCGGGGGCTGAAAACTCAGGTTGTGTCAGCCAGCAGCTCTCACGGTGCGTGGAGAAGGTGACCCCGAGGCCCATTTGGGTGAGTGTCTTTCCCTTGCCATGCTCGGTGCTGGGCCCTGATTTCAGTCATTGGCACTTGTGTCTCTTTCCAGATCCTCCCTTAGGCTGGGACCTCCAGACAGCAGCACCCCCATCTCTTATTTTAATAATATTTATACGGTTTTCCAGAGAGGTCAGTGGATAGAACAGAGTTCCTTGCCCTTCATGGAACTTATATTTTAGCAAGGAAAGCAAGACAAGAGATAAACAGTAAGCAGTAAGCCATGAAGTAAATTATACGGTGTGTTAGAAGATGGCACGCGCTCTGGGACACAGGAACTAAAGTAACGGAGAGGAGAGGAACGTGCTGAGTTAAGCCCAGGGGTCCAGCTGGGCCTCTGCACCAGGGCCGAGAACAGGCAGAGGGGGGGCTGGGGTTGGGGTGTTAGGGGAGAGGGTCCCCAGCAGAGGGGAAGTGCCCATGCTGAGGTAGCCCAGGCCTGGCACGTGCGGGGATGCAAGGAGGTGAGCGTGAGGAAGCTGGGGGGGGTGGCAGGGCATCCCTGCCAGTGCTGTCTGGGCAGCGGGAAGGGGAAGAGGCCTGGGGAGCCAGGGTTCATCTTTTTCTTCCTTCCTCTTTGTTCTCTTTTGGTACCCGACAGAATTAGGTAGTCCTTAAAAGGTGGGGACTGCGGTCTTTAGAGATTTAACAGCTGGGGGTGCACTAGTTCCCCAGGGCCGCTGGATTTGGGCAGAGCAGCTGTAACATGAGGGAAATCTGTGAAATAATCTTAAGGATCCCCTTTCCCCATCTCAGGCATCCTTCCAGACCAATCCAAATGAGGCAGCGTACACCATCAATAGCCGACTGCCTGTCCCTCCCAAACCAGGGCACGCGCCCAGGTGATCTTTGAATTTCCAATCCATCTGTGGGGCATAATCATCTGTTCGCCAAAGACTGTGTTTTTGTTTTTTGATTTTTGCAATACTGGGAATTAAACTCAGGCCAGCTTTCATGCCAGGCAAATGCTGTACCACGGAGCTAAATTCCAGCCCTTTTTGTTCTATTTTGAGACAGAATCTCACTTAGTTTTCTAGGCTGATCTTGAACTTGTGATCCTCCTGAGTCTCTGGGACTCTTTGGCATGTGCTGCTGAGCCCAGTCCCTGTATACCCTTTCCAGGAGTCATGTTCTGACAACCTGCCGCTTCCCTTCTCCCTGCTTCACTGATCTGCCCTGAGTCTTGCTGTCCACTTGTTGTCCATATGCACTTGGAGCCATACGTGTAAAGTGAGCAAAGGCCCAGCAGGGGCTCTGCCTTCTGGTCACTGGCAGCATCCCTGTTTGGTTAGGTGACAGTGCAGTCTGCCAGGTGAGCATGAGAGTATGTGACACCTTATAGTGGGAAGCATGGCAGTGGAGTGGAAGGCCAAGGCTAGCTGCCCCCCACCCCGGATGTCAGCATGTGGCTGGGGGAGCAGGGTTCCCTGGAACCCAAAACCAGGTGAGAGTGGCAGAGGGCTCACAGCATAGTGCATGCTGTGGCCAGGGCCAAAGCTTCATGGACAGGAAGGCTGCTTATGGGGCCACTGTGTGGGCTGGAGGGACCCTGCTCTGGGCAGGACAGAGTTTAGGGAGGCTGGCATCATGGAGATGGGAGTGGCAGCCAACCCAGGGGACTGAAGAATCGCCTGTGGATCCTGACTTCAGAATGCTTAATACGACCTCTTCTTTGACTGCTTTCTAGAACCAGGATCAAATGCCTGGGTTGGGCATAGTTGTTCTTGTCTGTAATTCTAGTGCTCAAGAGGCTGAGACAAGTGAATCACCATGAGTTCAAGGCTAGCCCAGGCTACATAGTGAGACCTCTTCTCAAAACAAAACAAAATAACAACAAACAATTCTGGCTATTGAGATATCAAACACAGGTTCATTAAATAATATATATTGGAAGAAGATTATTTTAAAAAACTATCTGGTCAAGAAAATAAAGCTTTTCCTATATTGTAGCCCAAACTGTAGAATTGAACTTTGTCCACTTTCAAGGTGGACATTGTAGAGATGAGTTCTCAGAAATCTTTGGAATGGGCTATGTGGGCCCTTCTGGGAACAAAGAACATCCCTAAATGGAGGCCAAGTTCACACCCCCTGTGCATTGTGGTGCTGTGATTTGCACACTTGCTGCACGCAGAGATGTTTTCGCTCTGATGGGCTTCATAGGGTTTTGCTGGGCTGTAGCGTTGGCATCAGGAAGCCCGATGAAGCCCCACGTTTCTCTGCCTCTCTATTTCTGACTGTGTTTCATAATGTGTTGATATTTCCAGGCTAATCTTTCACAGCTATTGAGAGATTCTCAGGACCGAAATAAACATCTGGGAGAAGAAATTAAAGAACTTCAGCAAAGGCTCGCAGAAGTCCAGGGTGACAATAAGGTACTGTGACTATATAAAGGAAGAGAGCTCTGCTAATGTAAGTGCGCAGGAGTCTATCAGAAAAATGGAATGCAGCATTTGTTGAAAATTGTGATAGAGATTTTTATATTTGCAATGAAAATTCAGTTGAGCATTTCTGGTCTTTATTATATCCCTTGTGTGTGTGTGTGTGTGTGTGTGTGTGTACATCTATGTGTGTGTTTCTGGGTTGCTCTAAAATATTGTCGCAAGCCGTTGTAGAAGTTTCTTTATGTTCAGCTTGGTGGTGAATAACATTGTGGTTGAGGGTGAAATAAAACTCAAAGCCTGTACTTTCCCCATTCTATACAAATAACGGATTTGTGGCTCAGATGATTTGGAATTATTCACATTCAGTTTTGAATTTTAAGTAGTCATCCTACTAATTATGTTCACATAACCAATTTATTTTATTGCAAAATTTGGCAATTTGTATGGAACATTGCTCAAAATCCACTGCTTGGTATTAATCAAACTCCCCTGTTGGCAACGTTAATTATAAAATATGAACTCATAAAGTCCAAACTAAATGTGTGCGCTCTCTTTCTCTCCCAGCTGAAGCTATGAACAAAAGTAAAATTGAGAAAGGGAAGAAAAACTGCCGAAGTTTAATTCTATCCTCTAAAATAATTTCCTGTTTTGCCAAGATAGATTTATTTTCAACTCCTTGCCAGAGGCAGCTTTTGCAAGAGATGGCGTTGGATTTTGACTCAAGAGAATGATATTGTGTGTGGGTTCAGGGGCGCTTTCTTGGGAAATGTTTTCTAGATGTTACCAAATTCCTTGATAGATGATGGCGTCTTTCGTTTTTGCTGGGAATTGCTGGTTATTGGAAGGTGCCATTTTGAAACATGCTCATTCTTTAGAGACTGCACAGAATTGTCTGGAGAGAATCCTTTTATAGCAGGAGATCAGAGAACTTAGTGCCACTGCTGGGTCGAGAGACCGTACCTGGGGGCAGATATTCTCCTGGGAAGGTGTGATGGTTTGATTATGGCGTATTCTTGCCAAAGGTGCTGAGAATTGGCATCCTCTAGTAAGAGTATTATAAGGTGTTAGAACTAACCGGGCTCTGAGAAGGTGATTATGCCCCCATCATCCTCGTGAAGAGTGGGGTGGATCTCCCAGCCGTGGATTCATCCCCAAATGAACCAGCTGTTACAAAACAAGAAGACTGGTTCATCTCCATGGGAGCTCTTCCGCACATATGGCTCATCCCTCCACCTCGGTACCCCTCCTCACCGTGATATCATCTGCCATGCTGTGATGCAGCCATGGGGCCCTCTCTAGAAGCCTCTGTGTGCTCTTGGACCTCTGGGACTGGGAGCCAAGCGAAACTTTTTACTTTATAAAGTACCCAACTTTGAGTGTTTCATTATAATTAATGGAAATGGAAGAAGACAGCACTTAATGTAAGTTTGAAAAATTAGCTTCTCCTATTCCCAGTCATAAAATAGGAAGTGAGAGAGAGTATCCAGGAAAGAGTCTAATTAGTGCAGGACAAGCTGGTCAGCCTTGCACATGGTATTAACCATCATTACAGGGACTCCAGCTCGGCAGCCTAGGGGTTCCCTATTCATCACTGGTTGACTTTTTTCTATTTCCTTTTGTTATTCTAAGCTACTCCCCACCCAGCTTTCTTAAATACCTTTCAGCCTCATCTGTCCGTTGCTTTTCATCGGTTTTCCCTTTGAGCATCAGACAGTTTAGGAACAGATGTTGGCAACTGATAGTTCAAGAAAAGGGAGGATGCGTGCGTGTGAGTGTGTGAGTCTGTATGCATGTACTTGTGTACTCATATATGAGCCGGTGCGCGTGTGTAACACCACACTGAGCTTAGGACTCCGCTTACATTGCCCAGTCTGCATGTCCCGATTGACTTGGGCACTAGGTCTCTATTTCTGTGGCTAGACACATTTATCAACTTTGTTTGCTCACACCAGGTTTAGAATTTAGTGAGTCGTTTCATGGCCTATGAAGTAATTTGCCTGCCAAAAGGTGCAAGGAAAATGTTCTAGTGTTCAGTAGACCTCTCACTCAGCAATGGTCTCTCCCAGTCCAAAACAAAACATGAAAAAATCCTAAAACTGCAGTGAGCTGCAGAGACTGTGTCGTTTCAGCTCTACCCAGAGTTACGGGCTGTTTTATTCCACATGCCTGGGAGTCACGGTCTCTCACCCCCGGCTCAGTCCTGTCCTTAACACCACGGGCAGATGCTTCACTGGGTGGTGAGACTGGGTTTTGGAAGACCAGGAAGCCCCATTTCTGAGCTGGCCAGGCCTGGGTGGTAGAGAAGGGGTGAGCCCTTTGGAGGTTTTGTTGTTTTGGTTTGTTGGGCTTTTTGATTGGTCATTTCACTTGCTGCCCCAGCCCCAGCCCTCCCAGCACCGTCCAGGCCCAGAGTCACCTCCTTGTCCTTATGATGTGTCCTCTGCTGATTTCTCCTGCACATCCGAGCCCATTCTCCCTCATACTTGTGCTGATTTCCCTTTGCTGTGCTGTTTTCTCTGTCTGGAATACTCTTCCCCTTGACTTCTGCAAGCCCCAATTCATCTGTCAGGATGTAGTTCAAATAGAGCCTTTTCCAGCTCTTGAGGGCCAGTCCCGATCATGCCCAGTGAGCCCTGCTGTGCCCCTCAACTGGCACTTGTATGGCACCTCTAACCCTAAGGTCAGTTGCTCACTTGTGCAGTGTTGTAGGAATTAACGTTTGGTTCCCTTATATAGACAGTCTTTAAACAGTCTCTGTTGAAGAAATGGAATGAATGAATGGATGAGTGGAATAAACAATCGGGAGCAAAGAAGAAGAGCAAAGTGATTTGAGGAAGAGAAGAGGAGAAAGATGAATATGCAAAACATTCATTCTGTTCAGCATCAGTAGCTCGCTTTAATAGTTAGAAATTTGGAGAAAGGACCTAGGAAAGCAAACTCTTCTACAGGAAGGAGGTAGAAGCATCTGAGATGGGCAGCCTGGGGCATCTCTGCGAGGACAGTGAGCGGGTAGGGGCTGAGCCTCCGTGGTGGACTGAGGATCGCTGTCCTGCTTGGTGGCTGCTTCAAGCCCGTTCAGTTCTTGCACACTGAACATCATGGTTCAGTTCCAATTCTGGTGCCAAACAGAGGGGCCAAGGGCATCAATTTATGAACGCTCATTAAAGCGGAAGATTTTTATCTCCGAGTTGCCATTTTAACTACTGACCCTTAGCCATATTTTGGGAAGCCTAGCTTCTAGATGTTAAGCACATTTAAGAAACAAGGTGACAGGAAATTACTTGCCTTGGATATTTTAGGGTAGACTAATTTTTCCATTTGTTCAGCTAGAGCCGTGTAACCCTCTGTGCCATAAAGCATTCCCAGCAGCTTCCCGGAAGATTTGCTGTCCCTGTCCTGGGCTATGAGCAACTTGGCGCTCACTGGGTCATGAGTAGGGGCTCCCTGCTAGCTTGGGTGTCCTGTAACTGGGGGCTTGTGGTCCATGGCTGGTTGCCATCTCTGTGTCCAGTGCCCAAGAATTTCTCAGGCTCCCTGGTTTACACAAATCCCCGACTCCAACCAGAGGAAAGATGTGCAGTGGGGAACCTACTCAGGTTACTTCTGCCTTTTTAAATCTTGAGGTCTCTATGGAAGAGGGACTCAAGATGCCCCCATTACCCCAGGAAGGGCTGTCTATAAGTTGTAGTGAGCCAGGGCTCAAAGTATGTTAGCTTCGAGGAATAAGAACCAGCTCTGGGGAGGGGTGCACACTGGCCGTGGCCTTGGGTCCGAGAGGAGCCCGCAGAGGCAGCTCCTTGTCCTGCCTGCCCTGAGCCCCGAGGTCTCCTCGCTTCCTCTTCTGGGTGAAGAGGAAAGAGAGGGTTCAGCAAAAGGGGATGGGAAGGAAGAAGGTCTCTGAAAATTTAAGAACCGATCACACTACACAACTAGCAATCTAAAGACCCAGTCAAAACGGGCATCTAAAATGAACAGTCATCTTTCAGATGAAAAAATAGAAATGGCAAATAAATATATGAAAAAATGTTCACCATTTCTCATCACTCAAGAGATGCAAATTAAAACAATGCTGAGATTCCATCTCATCCCAGAAAGAAGGGGTAGCGTTAAGCAATCAACCAATAACACCGCTGTCAGGGGTGTGGGGGAAAAGGAGCCCTTATCTATCATTGGTGGGAGTGTAGACTGGTGCAACCACTGTGGAAATCAGTGTGGAGATTCCTCAAAAAACAAGTTAGAGGTTCCAATTGACCCAGCTATTCCTCTTCTTGGTTCCTCTCAAAACAATTAAAAGCATCACACCATAGAATATATGTGTGTGTGTTTGTGTATGTGTGTGTGTGTGTGTGTGTGTGTGTGTGTGTCTCCTTGTTTGTGGCCGACTCCAGCCTGCTGCTGGGAGTGCGGGAGCGGCTCCGAAGGCAAGGGGGCCCTGCTCTGCCCGGCTGTCTGCGTGGCCTTGGGGAGGTCATTTTGCTCCAGGCCTCAGTTTCCCCGGCCCTGGGTTTTCCCATTTATTCACACGTTGCTAAGTGCTGATTAACACACTGGCAGCTGAGGAAATGTTAGGGAAGAGAGCGCTCACTCTCCGGGAGCTTTTCTTCTGGTTGCAGACAGAACATAGATTCATAAAATCATCAGACAGTGGTTAGAGCCGGAAAGATGGGAAGCAGGATGGTGAGACTGATCGCCGAGCTGTGTGTCCTCGCAGTATCATCTGTGAGGTCCACAGCACGGCGCCTGCCGCTGGGAAACCCTCAGGGGGGCGCATGTGCTGCTGTTATCTATAGCACAAATGGGTCTCTGTCCTCTCCTACGTGAATCTCACCCAGAGTCTTGGGGACGTCCTTCCTGTGGGTCGGCTGTTGCCAATGGACTTGGCATGTGTTACACAGCAGAAACAATAATCCAGGTGAGAAGCCTGACACCCAGCAGACAGAGCCCCAAAACTCAGCCTGCCTCCTCACCACCCCAACTCTGGGCAGCACCAA